TTAGAAACTGTATAGCAATTGCAAAATCTGTTCTACGACAACAACAACAAAGTTCCTTAAACTTGTTGTGTATGAAGAAAAGAAAGATGCATCATTTTATTATCCTTCTCTTCTTTCTAGGTCTGGATTTTCTTTCACTAATCCCAGTTGATTCACAGGTATGTTTTCTGAACTGCTGTGGGCTTAACTTCTAAGCCTGTTTTTTGTGACATGCTGCTTGAGTCAGGGTGTTGTCATCCATATCATGCTTGCAGTCCACTTGCTCAGACCTAACCACAGACCAGGACAACACATTTGCCCAACAAGAGGTTGTAAAAAGAAAAGATGCATTAAGTGAGGATTCAGTGTGACTTCACTATGATAAATCCAGGCACAGGAAACTACTGGTAGTTTCTCTTTGCCTTACAGCAGCAGATACTTACACATGTGCTGCTGCCATGAATACAAGCATGCATTTATGTTCTTAGTTCACACTGTATCTGCAGGCCAGATTAATTTTTGTAAGCATACTTCACTGTTGGTTTTGGTATCACTTGTGGATTGAGTTCTAATGATGTTGACTTCTAATGATGGGATCTTCATTAGTTTGGGCATGTTACCAAACACTTTCATAAATTCCTTAGCGCAATTAATGATGCCTTACTTACAATCCAAAGCCAACAGAGTTTATAGAAATTTTGTAGGTCCAAAGTAACCAGTTAGTGCTTTTCCTTTCCTGGAAACAAACTTTATACAGTTAAGAACGTAAGAATCTAGTTACAGTAAGAATCACAGATGGACTACAACCTTTGAGGGGGAACACTGTCTCACTAAGATAGTATTCAGACCTGGGGTCTCATAAGAGCAGTGCTGAGGGGGAGAATCACCCCCCTTGACCTGCTGCCCTTGAGTTGCAGCCCAGGATATGATTGGCTTTCTGGGCTGCAAGTACACTGCTAGCTCGTATCTATCTTTCTGTCCACCAGCGCTCCCAGGTCTTTCTTAGCAGAACTGCAATCAACCCATTCCTCCCTCAGTCTGTGCTGCTGTGGGCGATCACCCTGACCCATGTGCAGGACCTTGGTCTGCTCCTCAAGCCTGTCAAGGTCCCTCTGGATGGCATCCCATCTCTCTAGTGCATCAAATGCACCACTGAGCTTGGTGTTAACCTGCGATTAGCTGAGGGTGCACCCCATCCCACTACCCACGTTGTTAACAAATATACTAAATTTATTCATGGAGATACTAAATAGTACTGGCTCCAGTATGGACTCTTAGGGAATGCCATTCATTACAGGTTTCCATTTGGATGCTGTGGTGAGGGCCATGGTCATGGTAGTGTTTCCTAATGTGCCCGTAAATGCTTGAGCTAGCCTGCTCACAGGAGAAATAACAGGGAGGGTGAGGAAGGAAGGGTTTGTGCTACCACCTCTGCTTGCTTACTCGCTGTTTTGCAGAACTCTGGTCTTGCTGTGCATGTGTTAATGAAGTTCTGCTAGTAACCTGTTTTGTGCGTGTTGTAGGGAAGATGTATCTTCAGAGCATACATTTCCCTTGTGCAGTTAGTCTCTTCATTCTTCATTGTTTGTTTCAAACAGTACTGTCCTCCTATGTTTTTGGATAGTCTCACCTCAACCTTAACAAGCAGCACGCCTGGCAGCATCATCACATCAACCAGTCACCACGAGAGCAGCACGCACGTTAGCTCCTCCAGCAGGAGCGAGACAGGAGTTATAACCAGCAGCGGAGGCAGTGCTCCTGACATCATCTCACTGGACTGAAACAAGAGGCAGCCTTGGAACTCCAGGAAAAATTGCACAGAGCTGCTTGTTGTATCTCTGGAACTTCAGCATCTCGGAAATTTCGCTGATATTTATTGAAAGGATTTGCCTTCCAGAAATGGAGTAAACTCATCTTCACTAGGAACAGAAGTGATAGATTTTTCTTTTCTTGCTCGTTAAGTAGCTGATATAGAAAAGGCCCCTTCAGAACATGCTTCTATGCTTCTGGCCTGTTCTGGGGAAACTGAGTTTTTGTTGTTGGATAGATTCCACAAATGGTTTTTAATTTTGTTGTAAAACGCAGCAATAATGTAAAAACAAACTTTTTTAAAATAAAAAGGCACTTAACCACTCTAGAACAACAACCTGGACAATGGTGCAGAAGTATATGCATTGGTGAGTTTTTAATATTTTCACTGGGGCCTGTAATAAACTTCATTTAAGACAACGAAGCTTTGTGAAATAGCCATGACTTGTGTTTTATGTTTCCTGCTCCCCACTTTCCCCTTACTGGGGAAGGTAGGGAAAGCCTCTGTAAATGTTTTTTCCTTGGTTTCACGTTGTTCAAAAATGTAACACTCCAAACTGTGACTTCTTCCTCTTTAATGTGTTTTGAGCTGGGGAGGGAACAAACTATCTATGCAAACCTTGCATTATACAACCTCTGTGTGCTGCCATGTCAGAAGTGGGACACCTCCCTATCACCACCAAAACCCCCAAACTACGCACAGTTGAGCCATAGTTGAGTTTCTGGTTTGGTAACTTTAAGAGGTGATGGAAAGGAAACCTTTCAACTCCCTAAAGTCCTTGGTGCCCTTCTGTGCTGTTACCAGCTCCCCCTGATGCACCACTGAGTTGCATGCTTTCTATGGTACCCATGTGGAGACTGCAGTGATTACTTTCTCCAGAGCAGAACTGCTTTCTAGTATGCCTTGCCCATGGCTTTGCCACTTCAGTTAACTACTGTGTTCTGCTTAGGCATGCTGCAGTCTGACTTGCTACAGTGGTATCATGGGTTCTGGAAAGAAAAAAGCTGTAGCTGCACACTGTTCCCACCAAACTGGAACTAAGGTTAGGATTTAATGATGCTTTGTCCTGCAGTAGAAAAGCCATGATTAAAAGGCCATGTAATCAGCTAGAAGCAACTTCCTCCTCTTTTACTACTCTGAATTTGCTGCTTTGTTCAGTATATGCGGTGTCTCCTTGCACCTTTCTAAGGATAATGTTGGCAGTACTGTATTGGAAGAGGTTACAGACCAGGAAAATCAAGTGATTTCCACAGAGCTGGAAAAACGATATTGTCTATATATGTTGACATAGTAACTTTTCCAAGTGTTGTTTCTGAGTAACTGTATTTGAGATTACTCTTCTCCCTAGTTACCAGCGTTCATTTTGCCCTAATTTTGTTCTGTATTTTTGTATTTCTTTAGTCAGATGTCTGGTGCTTTTTGCCTTCCGTTACTGTTACAGTATTTGAACTAAATATATGGATAAGAAATATTGAAGCAGGATGTATTGTACCTCTCGTCTGCCCTGTACTCCCATCTGTAATGCTGCATTGCTATTCTTCATTGCCTTTTTTGTATTATCTTTCACATCAATCTTCAACTCACCGGTTGGTCTTAATATTGCATCCATTTTCTTCTCCTTTCCTTATCTGTTAAGTTTTTGTACCTGTTAAGGATCAGTTTTTAGCATGATTTATTTCCAATAAAGCCATGCTACTTATGAATTTTTTTTCCTAATGCCCTGCAGCTGATCAGTGCTCTCTGCATCATAACTGCACAATAACTTGAACTAGGAACAGAGGGGGGAGAGGCTTGAGAGCCGTTGTGAATAAACTGTTTAAAACTTACCTGTTACTGAAGATGCTGTTTGTGCTATTAATCACAAACCGATCTGGCTGAAGAGAGGTAAGCATCTTACAAATAATTCGGAGAACTTAATGCAAGGGTAAGTGCTATTTTTAGGACATAACGCTCTAAAACATTGGTGGTATTTATAAAATACAGTTAGAATATTGTTAAGCACCTGATGTGTCCAGTTGACAGATGATGGAGGGCTGTGTTCTCTAACCAGTCAGGGCAGGACTTTTGCAGCTGCTGTTAATTTTCGATAAACCTTCTTCTAGACCTATGCCAGCCCTATCAAATGCAAACTTAAGGGATGTGAGTTCTACCCATCTAGGAGAGAGCTAAACTGTTAGGGCAGTGTGAGGCAAGCGTTAACGTGAACAGCGTAGTTTTCCTACCATGTTGACATAAACACAGTAATTATCAAGCTTTAGTAATACTTAAATCCTTTAATTTACTTGTTTGTGGATGATATGCATCAATGAGCTGAAATAGTGTGGTACAGTCGTGACTCTTTTTTTTGTTCCACCAGAAAATAAAGCCTTCATTTAAGTAGTGGTGGGTGCAGAGGAGACTGGGAATCCCAGCTTAATGGCACAGGTCTTGATTCCAGGTGTGCTTCCTCTGATAAGCACACCTGTCCATTGTATCTAGATTAGTTTTTGCTTTACTCTTCCTTAAACAAGTCCTACATGGAAGTTAAAATACATCTGACTATTTATCAAAGTAATTTGGACAGGAGAACATCTTGCAGAAAAGGTCTGACTTCTTACCTCTTTCTGCTATAGAAGTATCTGTTTCTCTGAAAGGACTTGAAGAATGACCATCACACATAAAAAAAAAAAAAAATCACACAAACACAGCCGTGCTGCAAGAGAACGCCCTTTTTTCCACCCATGTGTATGCCGCATCTTTTTCTGCATTTGCTGAAAGTGATCTTATTTAGTAGGGCTAGCTGTGTGCCTCAGAGAGGTCATACCTGTATACCTGAGGACTGTTAGCTCAAACTGGTTTAACAAGCTTCCATGCTTCTACAAAGCTGTCCAAACCAATTATGTCATATTGGCAGGGCTTTGCCTAATGATACAGCACAGACCACATGAGGTTCTGTACCTGTGCAGCAGCAAGAATTGCGGCACTTCCACTTGTAAATCTCCTTTTAAGTCTAGGCTCTGGATGCTAGGAAGCTTACCTGTGACTGCAAGCCTTTTGCTATCAGTCTTCAACAACAGAGGATTCAAGTTTGGAAATGAGTGAATGCATCTTCTGTCTGAGAGGACAAAAACTGATCATTCAACAAGAATTTCTGCAAGAGCAGCAATGAAGGGAGCTCCTTCCTAGGTTAGAAAACAATTGCAGATTAGGCAAACTGGAAAGTACAACATTAGAAAGAACAACCGCTTTTTGTGTATTTTTGCTACAGGCAGCAATGATCACAGACAAGATACAGACAACAACAATTCCATAAACCAAAGTAACACGTTATTTTTATTTTTTTTTAGTAGGTAATTATGCCACAATCACAATATGTTAAGACTGTGTGTATTCAATGTGATATTCTAAAAACTTTCCATTTTATTCCTTGGATTTATGAGGAAATGGTCTCAGGACAAAACCGGGCAGTGTATCACACAACATGAAACAGATACGGTTACAACTTATCTAGGAAGTTAGCTAGAGGTGGAATGCCATCCTTCAAGCCTTTGCATTTATGCATTTCAATCACAACTTGCAGAGGATGAAAATTTGCATCGTTAGGATCTCCAGGCAAAATCTGCCAGTGATCAAAGGCACACTGTGGAAAAGCCTGGCTGCTGGTGTTGGACTTCAAGTCAGCAGTAAAACCTAATGCAAAGGGAAAAAGAAGAAGAAGAAAAAAAAAAAGGATGATTAAACAATGGAAAATAGTGGTTTATTGTGCATTTCTGCATAGATAGAACCCTAAAAACACTTTTTGAGAACCTGGGTAAGGTAGTGCTACCTTTCCAGGCTCACACCCATTTTCCTTTTAAATATACCAATACCAAATTTTCTTGCCAGCTGCCACTGAAGACAGACTCTTGCATCCAACTTGGGAACAGAACCAGACAAAACACTTAAGTCTTTATTTGCAGTAGATACCACACATCCTTCTGGCACCCTCTGCTGGCATGAAAGCCCAATTGAGTAGGTTGCCAGAAAAAAAAAAAGAAAAGGTCAATTATTTCTTTTAAACCAATGAAACAAGTATGTGAAGAGAGAAGAGGAAAAAAACTGGAGGTAATAAAATTGGAATTCTTAAGTCCCTTTCACCCTACAGTGGTGAAATGTGTGTGGGTAACAAAACAAAACAAACAAAAAGGGGTTATCTTACCAAATGATTCGTTTACAAGAGTGAATGCCTTGACTACAAACATTGGAGTTCCTGCCACTTGGGATTCTTCAAAAACGTGTCCCCTTTTCCTGTTCAGCACACCATAGATCCCACCAAACACTTCTTCTGGGCACTACAAAAAAAAATCAACTTACATAAAACTAGCAGATCACCAGTTACTAAAACACAGCCAGAGAGCGTTAGACAATTCTAACCAGATCACTTGATCTCCTTCCCACAGCAGCTCCCCTCTCAGAGAAATTTTTCATGTGTAACAAGTGGCTTTGCTCCAACTTTCAGGACCTCTTTCTGAAGGTCTGCTTGCCTTCTCTGCCTCATAAGGATGGGAAGTCTCCAAATACTGCAAACACTGACTAGACTGGATTGCAGTTTACATGCATAAAGTGAGGCAAAATGGCATATGGGTGGTGAAATACCTTCAACAACCTTTGGGTATGAGAAAGCAGGGTCCTCTGCTCTGTAATAAATGCATTTATTTCAGGACACAAATTTTATACAAACAATCTCACCATACGTTATCTTAGAAGTTCAAACATGACTAACAAGTCTTCTGATAAAATCGGATTTGAACAAACAAAACCAAACACCTTTCCTTGAAAACATACCATTAAGGTTGCAAAAAATCCCCTGCTTTGTCATGGTATATCTCATGAGTCATAAAGGTGAAATACTTCTCCTTTTTTGTCTTTACTTGCACTCACACTCCTCAGTCCTCATGGCTAAGACATTTTTAAGCCACCGAGCTGGTAGATTTCCTTCCCAGCACCCAGCACCATAGCCTGGAATTAATTTTTAAAGTAGGTCTCAAATCTTCTAATCATTTTTAAGATAGTTAAGACAAAATGGTATGTGAATTGCTGTACTTGGTGATAAATAAATATTTGTAACATGAAATACATTTTCCAGGCTCTTTCATGGAAAAATGTCCTTTACCGTGCTTCAAATGACTTTACAACTTGCTAACTTTGCATTTGCAGATATCACAGGGGCAATACTAAAAGGACACCAAACTCATTTTTAGGAACACTGTATCAGTCTGTAAGCAATCCAGTAAAAACAAAGGCTACTAATAAGAATCTTTCTGAAAGCATCTTCCTTGGTAGTGAGAAACAGATAAGAGCCATCACTAGATGATCACTTTTAGCTGCACTCCAATACTGCCCAATTTGCCCTCTGAGGATAGGTGACAGGGACTGTGAACTTCTGTTCTGTAATGCACAACTTGATTCACGTATCGACTTGAAAAAGATCTGAGCAAATAATCTTTTTAGTCTTCAAGCTAAAATTAAAAAAAAGTCAAAAAAACAAACAAACAAAAAAAAAACAAAAACAAAAAACAACACAGAGAGGCAAACAAACTCTTACGTAGGCTTGATGGTGATACATCTTTCTTGTTCATCTTTGCCGTGTTTCATCAGCTCTGGCTGAAGCGATGATGCCTGCTTTACAAACCAAGGAGTCTGTCAGTGTTGATTTTCCATGATCAATGTGAGCAGTCACAGCCATATTTCTAATTTTGGACTTGTCCATGAGCACTCAGATCTGGTCTTCTGTGAAATTCACCTGGGTGGGGAAGGAAAAAAAATTTGTTTCTTTTTAAAGCAAGTCTATGTGACATTTAAACTTTTACTACTTGATTTTAAATTCACGATCTAAAGAAGAAATGAAATTGTTCATAACATTAAGTATTACAGATAGTTCACGTTTTTGACATGGTTTTGTAAGCACAAAGAGTGGAGGTGCACCTTAAAATACAGCTCAGAGTTAGCTGCCACAAAAAGGGAGAATCCCCCCGTGGGGACAGAACAACTCGTCTCTGCCAAGCGCTACAGGAGCAGCATCACACCCAAGCTGCAGCTCTCAGGAGAGCTCCCACAAACGGCCTCTCCTCTCCTCCCAGCGCTGCCCCTCACTTTGCCAAGTCTTCCTCCAAGACTGCTCCCTACCTCCCGAGGCTTTTGGTATTTTAGGCAAGGAACTGGCTCTTCTGCAGCCAATACACCAGAAATTGATGGTTCACCTCAGCCAAAAACCTCTTTAAAGACTTCATTGGTGAAATGCAAGATTTTCAGAGCCCTTCTCACAAATGTTATCCCAGAAATAATTTTTCTTATTTCCATAATGACTCTGCCTGTTGCTAAGAGCTATTCTCCTCCTTCGATTTGCAGAAGGAAGTACCTGACCCTGGTAATTATGTATTAAACACATGGCACCTTAGCAAAGGACAACGAGATCTTACTAATCTAGGCTTGTCTCATTCCATACTGAGAGACACCTGCAGGTCACAGCAGTGCAGTTAATGGGGTTATTCTTGCAAATCCTTTTAGTGCATGAACTGCCACAGAGGGAATAAAAAGACAAAAACAAAACAAAACAACAAAGATGGGGAATATTAAGCATACACAAAAATCACACACCACACCGCTAGTTCATACTAGTTGCTCTAATGGGGAAAGATACACCAGAAGGAACACTTAAAAAGATGGAGTTGTAATTAGCAGAGAAATAAAGAAACTCATTTCTATCACTACAGCAACAAATGTTTCTAATGCAGTCTGAGTCTTAATGAGTGCATCTGAACACCTGGAACCTGTCTTCATGCAAGGATAAAATATTAGTAAAAAAAAACCAGCCCAGCTCAGCCAAAAATATGATTACATGTAGGAGACAAAGCAGGGTTTTTGTACAGATCAGGTAACATTTCTGATTTGCTTCTTGATTACCCCACATCCCAACTTTGGGCTGTGTGGCAGGGAGGTTACCCTGCACAGCCCTTGGAGCGAGGCGGGATGTGGTAGGGAGCCTCTGGGTGAGGACTGAGGGTCTGACAGCAACCATGATGTTGTTGTGGGTGTCAGCTTCACCCCGGATGGTGGCATGGGTGAGCTGTTCTTTGGCAATGGGGGAAGCCTCAGGGTGAGCTGCCCTTGTCCTTACGGGAGACGTCACATTCCCATAACATACACTGGGAAAATCATGCTGCCTCGACAAGTAGGGCTGGGAAATTGCTAAAGCGTGTTCCTAAAGAATATTAAAGAACCCTTTTCAAATTTTAACATTTTCCCTGTTTTTATACTGTTCTGTGCTAAAAAGGAAAAAAAATCACTGTTCTGTGATAATTCAGTGCTACATCTATGCTACATACAATCATCTCATCATGTATGTGAACAGTTAAGTGTTGAGAAGTACACCTACCACCTCTTCGTGTTTGCTAACTACCCACCTAATTGATAAATATTTACTTAGTGTAAATATTACTTTAAAATGTATATTCCTTTAGATATTACTTTTAACTGAAATCTTTATTTTTTCATTGTCTGCAAGTCTCCAACACACAGGTTAAATTTAGGTCTTTTTTGGGGGCAGGGAGCAGAGATAACTGTTACAGTTTTCCTCCTTATGTTTTACGCATGCAGTCCTCCTACAAATGTCCATTTACATTAATGTAAACTTCGTGCACATTTTTCTCCCACTTGACTGGATGCTCTCCTACAGGCTGTTCATATTGTCTGCAGCAGGATGGTATTGGAGTTGTAAAATCCCTGATCCATGCCTAAAAACAACAAAGCCTTACCCTCCAGTTGGGATAATCATATCCCCCTGTTGTAAAAGTAGAAGATATATGGAGTGACCATTATAAAAGACTTGGATGTGAAACGTCAGCTTTATGGTGTAGTTGCTTGGTGATTTAACAAGTCATTAAGACAGTGATATTGCTTGTGGAGCTGCAGCAGCTTGGGTTTGAGATGAAAACAGCTCTAAGTCATGGAGAAGGAAAGGAGAGCACAGAAGCACGAGAGATGAGCAAGGCCAGACAGTACTGGAGAGGAAGGCAGGGGGTAAGGCAAAGAAAAGGGAAATCTACATCCACCTGTAACGGGCTGGAAGGACCCCAGGTCCTAAAGCTCTGTGTTATACCACAACAGAAGGGTAACATCATCTATCAAGGGGGTTTAAAGGCAGGCCTCAGTAAGCGGCATCAAAACTTTTGCTGATAAGTCTCTGGGCAAGACAATCCCCAAAACATACTAAAAAAAATATCTCAAGCTTTCCATCCTTTTGCTCAACTACAAGACTGCATTCCTTCCCAGAAACGGAAGTTCCAGTGTTTCAATTATTACTGCCTCAATACTTTTTGCCAGGAATACAACACAACACACTTGGCATGAGGCTTTCAGCACAGAGGAAGCTACATTTTACAGAACTCTGCAAAACTGCTCCTTATCTTGCTCCTGCAAGCACCACTCCTTTCCTTCCCAGTGGCTTCCACACCTGGGGAATTATCTTCAAGTTGGATTCTTATCCTCAGAGTGTCCAGGGACACAGACTCAGGATACTTAAATCTTACCTAAAGCCCTAGAAGTAAATTTGTTGCCAGCAATGACCTCTTCTGCAACAGAGCAATAAAGCTCATTTGTAGCGGAGGATGGGATTTTCTCGGTTACCACCCCATAGTGTAAGACAACTCCTACAGAAATCTAAAGTTATTAAAAGTGTCATTGCTTCCTATTTAAACCAAACATTATAAAGTCTGTTCACTCTGTCACTGCTTGCTGGAGAACAATCACTTCTCCTTTAAAATCATCCCAAATCTTTTTTCTTTGCATTTGACCTCAAACTGATTTGGACAACCATTTAATTTACCAAGCAATTAGGCTTGCAGAGACTAATTATTATTTAAAAATTGATATAGAATTTATCTGCACAAAAAGCTACAAGTTTTATCAGTAGTTATATTTCAATTTTCTTCTAGGTCATTGATGAAATCATTAAGTAGCATTACAGGGCAGCAAACTTGTTCTATGTGGTCACTCCCTTTACCTAATTAATTCATCAACAATTAGTGAAGTTGGTAGGCACTTGCAGACCATTTCAGTAAACTAAAAGATAATAAGGAGCCAGAATGGATCAACTATCTGAATCACCCAGGATACTGCCAAAAATTTGGCTATTACTGATGTCTTTATAGACAGGGATTCTTATCTAAAGACATCCAAAAATCTTTAAAAAGGTTTATTTCCTGCTCTGATCATGGTTGTACCCCTCAGATTTGCTGGGATTATGCAATCATTCTTCAGTGCTTCACTGACTGCGTCCTACACAAATCCATGTTTTTTGTCTAGAAGGAACTTCAGGCCAATACTACTCAACTCCTTCTCAACTCCTCCTGCAACACTGGCTTTAAAAAAAACAGAGGAAAGTCATTAAGAGTGCTCCCCCAAAACAGTCAGTATCAACACTGATCATTTAGATGAAGTTACTACTGACAGCCAAGCACACCTTTATTATCTTTTGGTTAATCCATTGTCCTAAGTAAGAATTTTTAAGAGCGTAACACTGCTGTCTCACTTTCAGTTCACTTTGTCATATCGCAGCAGCTGTTCTTGTTTATACAGCTCAGTAAACCATTGTTAAGTTTCTGCTAATTAGCTTGTTAATAAAATATAGTATATTAGAAAACAGAGAGAGCTCTGTTCAAGCATTAATATTAATGTCTTGCAAAGCTTTCTGGCAGAAACTTCAGGAATATGTATTAGTAAATAAACACATTTACCTCTTCATTTACCCAAATGCCAACACGGAATTTACCATTTGTGCTGTTCTATAATGGAAAGAGGCATTGGCATCACAACAATTTTTGTCACAAAGACAACTGAAAGCACAAAGCCAGATTAAAAATTAATAGCCATTTTAATTTTAAATCTGTTTCTCATTGTAGAACTGCTACAAAGCTTCTTATCCATTGTGCGAGGTAGCAACCAGATCAAAGTTATCTTGCTATATGATGCTGCAGAGAAGCTGAGGTCTCCTCTGAGCAACACCACGCAAAAGTAAAGGAGAAGGCAGTGGTGTTTGCAGGAGGGAGAAACATTGCTGGTTTATTACAAAGAGAACATAACTTTGGCCAAAACTGTCAAGCTTTGTGGCTGATAAAGCCAGCCACAAGGATGTCCTGGCAGGTACTGTGTGCCATTTGGGCAACCCGTACCACAGCGCTGCATGTCCCTGGCTAGCAGCACCCCGGGGCGCAGCCTCATCGCATCACAGCCTCAGGTCAGAAATACATCTTCTAAAAGCAAAGAAGATTAAAATGCTTATAGAAGCAGAGTAGGTGACTATACTGCCCATTTCAGCACAAGGTGGTGACAGTTGTACAGCAGAAGATTACAGGAATAAAACTGAAGATCCAAGAAATGCGAAGCCACGCAAGCATCTGCTCGTCACAGAGACAGGTTGGTAAATTCTCATTCACTAGGATAAAGAGAGCTTCGAAACAGGTGAAAATGCTTATGTTTAAAACAACGGGGCAGGTTTGCTAAGTGGGAAAATGACAAATAAATAAATTAGCCCCACATCACAGCCTGTCTCTCCTGACCTGCTTCAGGTCAGGGCATCCTTCCCCACGGTTAGTGCACAGTACGACATGTCTGGTCACACACAGGCAAAGTCTTTCCCCAACCTCAATGGAAAAAATGCTTTTATCTCCCGTATTTATAAACTCTGATGCCCAGCGTTTAGCCTGAGAGCTTCCTCTTGACCTGTGAGCAACACAGACACGACCGAGGCCGTGCCCTGCGCCAGGAGGGGGAAGCAGCAGATCCCCCTGCCCCCTTAACACCGACAGAGCTCGGAGGGGATAAAAACGAAGCTCAGATGCCGGGAGGGAGGGGACGCGCCCAGCACCGCCCCAGCAGCCTCCTGCCGTGCTCCAGAGGGCCGGCACCACCGCCGGGCTGCCAGAGAAACGAGGCGAAGCTCCCCGAAAGTGCCGCGGCGAGCTGCCGGCCCTTCCCCACAGCGGGCAGGGCGAGAAGATGGCGGCCGCGCCCCCCTCAGGAGCCCGCTCCTCAGAGGACAGCGGCGGGTAGGCAGCCGCACCTCTCCTCCTTCTCCTCCTCTTCTTCCTCCTCCTCCTCACTCACCGTGGTCGTGGATCCCTCCTGCTCTCCCAGCTGTATTCGGGTTCCTGAGGCGGTGTCTGTTCTGCTCTGTCACCGTGTCCACGGTGTCCAGAGGGGACGGCAGCCCCTCAGGGTCCCCGCTCTGCTGAGGGGACAGGGAATGGAGTCCCGGCTCTTCTCAGATCCCCTTCCACTTTTTCAGGTGCTGGCAGCGGTGAGGAGGACGCGAGGCGGAGCCCTGTCCCCGTCCTTGTCCCTGTCCCCGGGCACAGCCTGCAGGGGGAGATGCAGCCTCGGCTCCTGCTGGACCCCAGCGGTAGGTTTTCCACCGGGGTGTGTGCCCTGAGCAGCCGGGTTTGGGGCCAAAGCAGCTGGATTTGGGGCCAAAACCCCTCGGTGGTTCCTTCTGGCAGTGGGTTAAGTGGTTTAGCAGCTCCCGGTTAAGGTGCGAAGACTGCAAGTTCCTTCAAAAAATAGCTTGCTGTCATTAAAGGCATTAGAGTAATAACACTTCACATTCCTAAGACAGACTTTCACCCGAAAATGTCTTCTAGAAATATTATGTAATTAAGTTGTCAAGCACAGAGCGAGTGCATGAATGTCTTAACCAGCTTCTGGGATCAAGATAAATGAAAATTTATATAGTAGTGCTTCCTAAAAACTGAAGGTCTGAAAAGAACAATATCAAATCCAACTATGGTGAAAATACATTGTTACATATAAAACTCCGTGGGTGGAATAAATGGCACTATTGATCATGCCAAAGGAGTGGTACAGGTCAGAAACAGCTCCCAGCCTTAGGCATGGAAAAGTACTGTCCTGGTACTTTCTGCAGAGCTTCTGACCAAGGAGAGCTTGCAGGATTTTACTCAATTAGATAAAGTTTAATACAATCAAATAGATTTAAGATATCAAAATAGCAACAGCAAGCACTCTGGAAGAAGTGGAAAGTGAGAATGGGATTAGGAAATTCTGGCTTGCACTTCTTTTTTCTTTTCTTGAAACAGCAGGAGCTCAGAATTACACCTTGCCTCAAAGGCATTACTCATTTTATCAAAGAGCAGGTATTAGTCATACCATACTCCTCAAAGCAGTACTATAACAGAGGAAAAACTAGATCTGAGATCTTCATATTGCATGGGCTGTAAGCCCTATGTGTTGTTGCCTTGTTGTTAGCTATACTTGAAAAGAATAATGACTGACCAAAAGTCCTTTACTTGTTCAAGAAAGAAAATAGCTGAGAACCTCTTGTCATTCAGCTCCTGTGACAGCATGTGCTATTACAGTCATCCGCTTCTCTGAACAAGAAGAAAATTCACCAAATAACTTTGATGGCAAACTTTCTCTAATCAAAGGTTTGTTCCTCTTGTAGTGCATCTTGTATGATGTTGTGGTTTAACCCTCCTGGCAGCTAGGCACCACACAGCCGTTTGCTTACCCTCCCCCCTCCCTCTCTGGGATAGGGAAGAGAAATGGGAAAGTGAAGCCTGTGGGTTGAGATAGACAGTTTATTAAGACAAGAAAATAATAACAATAATGATGATAATAGTACTACTGTTTACAAAACAAGTGATGCACAATGCCCTCCCAGCTCCTGCTGCACCCCCAGCCTGCCTGCTGGCAGGGCAGAGCAAGAAGCTGAAATGTCCTTGGCTTGGTGTAAGCACTGCTCTGCAACAATTAAAACATCGGGGTGTTATCAGCACTCTTCTCATCCTAAGCCAAGACATAGCACCCTACCAGCTACTAGGAGGAAAATTAACTCTGTCCGAACTGAAATCAGATCACGTGAGTTGTGAAGCAGACATCAAACAGCTGCATCTAATCAACCTGATTGTGTTACAACAGATAGAGAAGCACTGTGTTTTTTTTCCGCAGAATTGGACAGCACTGCTATGGACTTCCTTAGGCAGACAGAAATTCAGCTCTGTGTGCAGTTCTCTGTCAAAACCGCGAGCTTTCTGGAGACCTGATGGTTGATTACAAAACAAGCTTTTCTTGTGCCTGCATGCACACACCTGCAATCTTAGGACCAATTTGCACAGCTGGTGCACATGCATGATTCTATAAATATAATTGAAATTAACTTTATTTCATCTGTCTTATTACATTTCAATTTATGCCAATCTGTGCAGGAAAACAAAACTTATGAAACTCTTGAATGGCTTCCAAATTAACAGGCTCTCTGAAAAAAAAATTCTTGTTTTCTGGCTTGCTATCTTTATGGGTATCTTATTCTTTACAAGACTTTTGTTCTGTTTAAAAATTACAGCTCTTACACAAAGTACGTTTTAGCCTTTATACTGCCTGCAAAATTCTTTTTACAGGTGCTAATTGTTCTTCCACTGTTTTACTAAGAGCACGGCCTTCTTTCATACTTTTGGAGCAATTGCTGGCCTCTCTCCTGCCCAGTGTCATCCTCAGCTATGGATATGGAGAATGCAATACTAAATCCTTTCTGGTTGAAACACTGCTAAAATGAATAAGTGGAGTTAATGAAAATGCACATGAAGAATAAAAATCATGCCTATAGAAACAGCACAGCACAACGGCTTGTGCCATTCATATAAGTGAAGTGTTAAATTATCGTTGTACTTGCTTTCTGCAAGTTGATTTCTTGATTTTCTTTTTTATATGTTGTGATATGGCCTAGAAGAATCTAAAATTATTTCATCTGTGGTTAATTGTTCTATGTTTCCAGCATTGTAAATAAGACTAGACAGGAGAAAATTTAGGAAGTTTCAGGAACTTTGAAAAGAGAGGTTGGTTAAAAGTGTAGCCGAGGTTTTCTGAAAAGAAGTAGATTCAAAGTGTAACAAGTATTGATTCACTGTTGTATTGAGGGTACAAAGGGCCAGGGTCCTTTTTCAGTAAACTTTATTTGTGCTCAAAACAAGAAAAAGATTATTTTGCTAGTTAATACCTACAGGTATTAATACAGCAGGAGAAGCTGTGATATAACAGGGGGGCTGTTTCCTGCTTTCAATGTTTCACATCCATTTTCACTTGCCATGTTTTACTTTGGATCCACTTTTTCGTACATGATCTTATGTTTTTCTTATGCAGAGATTGATGCACTTTGGTCTAGATTCTGCTTTCTATTCCATTCACATAGTTGTTACCTGCTTTGTAGTGCACGGAGTACTTGGGATCTCCAGGGGTGCAACTGAGCCAAATGGTCTCATGATCTATACGGATTAATTTTGACACATTCAGTAGTTTAGAGGATGGGTATTATCAAAGGCACCTGTGTGGACAAGCAGAACTTTCTCTTGCAGTCCTCCAGGTTAGCCAAGCACAAGGCAGCTCTGACCTGAAAGTCAAATATCTTATTTGGTCTAGTTTTGTTTTAATTATATGTCTGTCTTTTTTTTTTTTCGGGGAGTATGTTAGCTCAGGGGTGGCAGTCCATTTCCATGACTATATAGCTTCCATGCCAGTGTTGCCACGGATCTTGAGAGCTCCCAGTGTATCTGAAGAGCTCAGTTATGCCTTCACCTATATATATATCAGATATATATATATATATGATTTTTCCCTAGAACAGTTCAGATTTGAACCCTGCATGGATGAAAATGGCAGCACCTTAACTAACAGCTTGGTACATTCTGTAAATCCAGTGTCCTATTTGTCTCTTTTTCAAATATATTGACTAAGATATTGACCTGACTGTCCTCTAAAGACAGCAGGTTTATGCATGTTTTAGTAGATCAACTATTTGGGTCTGATTTCTAGTAATGATGCATGAGAAGAAAAAGAAGCAACTTTACTACTGCAACAAAATCTTTTGCTGATATGATATACGATGGGGCAACTGTTCTTTACAACTGGGTCATATACTTTTTGGACCACTGGCAAGGACCAGTCCTGTGAAATTTTCATCAATCGAGCAGTAGACCAGTTTGAATCATATGCCTTACAATATTTCTGTATGAATAAAAAGCTCTGGTAGATGTGCTTATGGCAGCAAAAAATACCTCACCAACACAATCTGTGAAAGTGATGCCATTGAATCCTGTAAACAGTAGAAAAGGATTAAAAAAAAAATAGTTGATTTTCAGAGCTGTAAAAAGAACGTTCCATTAGTTATAAGTTGAAGTTGTATGGCATAACAATCTTTGGAAATTGATGAATAATTTCACTACCAACTTTTGGAATTTTCTAGCAAAGCACTGTTTTAAAAACTGAAAGTTTCATTAATTTGTTGCTGGGGCTTTTTTTTTGTGTGCTTTGTAGCCTCTGATCTCAAGCAGCCTGTGTTTTTGAAGCCTTGACTATCCTGCTAAACTTAATTTCATCTTGAAGTTCAGATAATCAAGGGCATATTGTTATATATAAGACATGCATCTTTAATTTATCCTCATAGCTTGTATTTAATAGAATGCGATTCTTTTAAAACTATTAATCAGAATGCTGATGAGTTTCATTTGCTATTTTCTTAAATTATGCATTGGCTGTAGTTAAGCAGCCTCTTCAGATTTTGCCTGTGCTTCAGAAATGCCTGGGTTTATCTCACAAAATACTAGACTTTTAACAGAGATATACATTGGAGGCCTTACTTGGCAATGAAGGGAATCTGGCACTTTACAAAGGTGTTTCATCTTGTTGCTTCACTGTGAATTATTCTGACTGAATGGTTAGTGGAATTTACCATGTGATATATTTTCTGTTCTTTCACTGGATGGCTTGCAAGAATACCTGTTGCATATTAGCACTGGCACTTAACACAAAAAAGCAGCACATAAGATTTTCAAAAGTACTGTCTCTGTATTGCCTTTATTCTTTTCTCCTTAAGTGAGCGAGATTGCTGTTGTCCTTGGTTTGAAGTAATTTGGCCCAAAATGTCTGTTCTTGAAAAGCCAAGCTGTAAAAATGAGCATTTTGCAAACACTGGTATCTGTAAATTTGGAATGCATTGCCTGATTGTTTGTGCTAGTGAAACACACATGGTTGTCTACACATACCCAATGAACAAGGACATAACTGAGTCAAGATTGTCTTGAGTTGAGGGTTGGTCTCATAAATAAGGCACCAGACTTGGTTTGGGAAGTGAGATAAAGACTTTGGAAAATGACATAATCTCTTTTTCCCATTGTCCATGCTTCTGAATTAAATTAATAATGCTTCCCTAGTTTATCACTGTTTATTATCATAATACTTATAATTTAATATAATATTATTAAATATAGTGATACGGATGTAGAAGAAGATGTTTTATCAAATATTCAAGATAATTTAGCTGTAGTGCTCATTTAGTTCTATTTGTAAAACAGTGAAAAGGAAATGAAAGTACAGGGAACGAAATGTTTTTCTGCTTCAAGAAGAATGCAGGCAGATTTTCTGTAGTGAATTATATAAGGGCTCCCACTCATCTTTCTGGTAACTCTTCTACATAAGAACATCTGGCAGGTTGCTCTGAAAAGGTCACATCTGCTTATCTGGGAGCAGGGTATGCTCTGTAATTGACTGGGAAGAATAGCACAGGCCAAGTGGCAATGCAATAAGGTTGCCCTTAGCAAAGCCACTTCGGAAGTAAACACAATTTCGAGAAGCTGCCTCAGGAAAGCAGTTTTGGTGAACTCAAGCATACAGAGTTTGAAATCTCCAAAGAATTTTTGACTCTTTATTACTCAGAAAGAGAACAGATAAAGGCTGAGGGCTCCTTGCTCGTGCCACATGCAGCAGCCAGCTTCCTTCGTTGGCAGAGCTACGGTGAGCACCTCCAAGCCTGGGACTGAGCAGCTGACACTTCACAGCCTGGTAGGATCAGCTGCCTGGGGCACTCAAACCTTATCTCCGCTGCGACCTGCCAAGGCGGATGTGTCCCTGTGAGGCTGAGGATATCACAGAGCAGAGGCACGGTGTGAGCAGGCTGGAGGATGGGCACTCACTAAAACAGGGCAGCTTTGGGACAAAGCACTGCAGTGATCATACTAATCAAGGCTGATAAAGTAAATCTAAAGTTTCACTGTCTTCTTTTTATGCCAAAACTGCAGCGAGGCTTGTAATAATCAACTCAACTTTTTCTTACATCACCTAGCAGCAATCATAAGCATAATTATTTACTGGATAAATATAAAAATTATAATAATTTTCAAGCAGAAGTGATCTGAGCTTCAGTGGGGAGGCAAAAAGCATTGTGTCTACAATAATGGCACTGTTAAATATTTCTGTGTATATTTGAGTGATGATAGTTACGAGAACTCTGTGTAGTGTTGTAGTCTAAGAGTGACTCCCATCATTTAACCTAACTTTTTCTTACCTCACCTAGCAGCAATCATAAGGAGTTTACTTCAATGATAAACGTTAAAAAATGGCATTAAAATAAATGATTGTTATTACAGGGAAAAAGTCTGTTGTGGTACTGAATGTTTGTTCGTAGTCGGTTCTTTACAAAGGAGTGTTTTTCATTTTACAGACAGAAGGATGCTTTTTCATAATGTCTCCCTCCCCTTGTTCTCCCTGAGAGCTAAAATATTAAATGTGAACTGTTTGGTGTCCCTGATATAACTGTGAGACATTGGACTTCTGCAGATCAGAAAATTTCCTCAGTGTTGCATGAGGCAAAAAAGTAGAATCCAATTAATTATTTCAAGTTTTTATTTGGTCATAATACCAACAGGTTTATGGACTTGTTTTTGTCATTAGTGGGAACAGGCAATCTTTTTTTTGTGTGTGTATGTGTTTCATTATTGTATGATACTTTAAGGCTGGAAAATTGCATTAAGATCAGGAAAAAAAAAAGGAAGGATTTTTCTCTAAGGCACTGCCATATGTCTTTCCAGGTGGAAATACAACAGGGTGCAGTAAGGCAAGGATTGTGAAGGGACCCTGTTGTGCTTGGCTGTTGGAAAGCATATGGTGCAATAATATTCCAGCTCTGACTGTGAATTTTCCTTCTTGTCTTGTCTGGCAAATATGATTATTTCTAACGTATACTCAAATGTTCTGTTTGTTCCTAGGAAGAGAGTGCTTCTCCATCACCAGACCTGCCTACTAGATCAGGTCCTACCTCAAAGAGAACCTCAGAAGAAACAGAAGAGGTATGGAAAATGCCTTCAATAATTGTCTGAACCACCTTTAAAATGTTTCTGCATCACAGAGGGTTGGATTTCAGTGGATTTCTAGGTTACAGAGGGTTGGATTTCAGTGGCCTAATGGGGCATTTCAGGATGCTGGATTTCCAGAAGGAATCTCTTTCCATCTTGATATGGTAGCTGCTCCAAAGACAAGTAGTGCTGGTCTTCAGCCAATTTTTGCGCCCCTGCAGTAATGCTGAGCTGCAGTTGGCTTGGTATCAGGGCTTCCTTCCGATGTTTGAAGGGCACCGCATGGAAAGTACTGCATTCAGAATATATTATTGCTTCACTTCCTCAGGCTGCTCCTCAGGGCACGATGCTGCAGAAGTGTTAATGAAACCCAAGCTCCTATCTTCATGCCCTCTTGTGCTTGGCCAGGCATGTCTAGGACTGCATGGAGCTTCACGTCTCGCAGGCCTTCACTTCTTGGAGCTTGCTGAAATGCTTCACACGTATGTGTAATCAGAGATTTTAATGAAAAATAAAAGTTATATTTGTTTCGGTATCATCTTTCAGTATTAGGTCAGTGTACAGTATAGCTTCTGGGTTGCTTGTGGCTTCTGAGGAAAATGGCATAAATCTCTGGCACTTGGCAGTTTTGAAATATGAAGCCCATGCAGGGAAGTTTGTCTGTAATCATAAGCAGCTTAATGACTGGCTTCTATTCTGCAGCTGGAGGGGGGTTTAATGTCTCCTAAAATATATTATTATCTCTAAAGCTATGATCTCTACCATAACTGTGGGTATTCTGTATTGTCCAATCCTTTTTCAAAATCCTGTTAGGCTTTTGACCTCTATGGTTTCTCTCTGCATAAAATCCCTTAGAGGAGAATTAACCCCTTACAGAGTTCCCTGTACATATACCACTGAGAGCATTTCTATGCTGCAGGTGTTCTGCACTGTGGTGTTGAAATGGTTAGCAACCTGAATCTGTGCTTTTCTGCTCCAGCATGGCAGAAAGGAAGGGGACAAATACAAGGCTGAGGTTGTCATCTGCCACCTTTGCAGCGTGGCTGTAGTACAGCTGTTAAGTAACAGAGCTGAGACACAGAGTTGTCCACTCTGTTCCAAAAACCAGTTGTGCCTCTCTCCCTCTTTTGTTCTTTACCTTTCCTATTAATCTCTGTTTCCCCAGAAGCTGAAAAGGCAAAGTAACTCAAACTCATGCAGAATAAATGCAAAATAAATCTGATTGCAGATCCAGTTGTAAAGTGGAATCAGAGTTGTACCTTCCAGGCAGTGACTTGGGAGCATCACCCCACTGTGAGCTGGCAGTGGCACTCAGAGCATTTGTGGGTTTATCTACCCTGCTGCAGTGCTGTTGTTGACACCTGTATATGTTGGTTGAATGAACAGGGCATCATCATAATTGCCGTGCCCTTATGCTAGGTGAAATACTTTCTCTTAGTTTACAAACATTGAGCAGAGCTGGCCACATTTATAGGAATGTCATTTGTGACATTTATAACAAAAATGACAGTGGTGTCTTGCTTACCTAGCAAGTGCATGCTCTTGCATTTTCCATCTGCTAAGTGTGTAATTCCATTGTATGCTGTATTTTAACATTTTCCCCTGTGGTCAATGCACTACTCCACAGCCACAACAAAAGAAGGCATCAAGGTTTTCTAACAGCAATAGTAAACACTGTTATGGTGAAAACAGTATTCCTTAGAAACTGTAGGATGTCATCTCGTCCATACACAGACACACCATATCCCTTCAGCAGCCTGTGCCTGCACTTTTATAGCATTTTCACACACACAGAATCACAGAATTTCTAGGTTGGAAGAGACCTCAAGATTTTCAATATCATCTTTCAGCTTGCTTTTATTCTTTGAGGGCCATCTGTCTGTGAATAATCATTCTTGAGATACTTAGTCTGAACACATCCTTTCTCCTTGATTGCTTGGATCTGATGAAAACCCTTTACATTTTACTGATGTTTCTGTGAGGGGAAGCAAAACTTTGAAAAAATCAGCAATGTCACCTTCAGGATTTTACAATCCCTCCTGTTACCTCACTGTTATCTGGTGATGGTGGTGGTGGGAATTAAAGGATGAAGTCATGTTTCTGGTAAGTGTGAACACAGTAAGGAGTAAAAGCAAAGGACAATATGTATGTAGCAGACATTCACAGTTCTACCAAAAAAACAACTGTTTGAGAAATTTTTGAGGTGAGTTTATTGTAGGGCCTGGGATACTGGGTGCTCCTTATGAACACTATCTCTGCTCCGTCAGGTAGATACTAGAGTGGCAAAGAATCATTTTTATCCCTCCTATTTCCTTTTTTTTTCTTTCTCTGTGGGATTCCTGCAAATGTATCTGGTGTGGGAGTTTCAGTCTACCAATGGAAAAGTTGGGGTATGGTGGAGTTGCACATTTCACTGTACTAGAGTCCAAATTCAGTGGTGGTGTATCTTAAACAGTGAGTTGCCCAGAACTCGGGAAAGTCATTTGCTAAGTAGGAATGTCAAATACACTGATACTTAAAGTATGACAGAATTACCAAGGTCACAAGTTGTGCTAGAAACAGAAAAGACCTGCAGTGTAACTTCTCACCCGTTGTCTCATTTTTGAGTGTATCTAACCAGGCTGGTAGGCTTATCCAGCTTTAAAACTTCAAAGATGATCTGAGGTGTAAAATGTGATGGAGAGCTGATAAGGCAGGGACTTTGCTTCAGATGTCATCAACAGTCTGTTTTTGTTGCGCTGCCTTGCTGCAGATCTACCTGGAGGCTCTCAGCAGGAGCAAAAAGCTGCCTTGTGCTGTCTGTTAAACAGTAACAGGCAGTCCTGGCCTCAATTAGCTGTTAGTCTAATGGTCCTAATTCTGCAGATTTTAACCTGTTTTGCATTACCACAGTATTTGTGTGAGTAGGGCAGTGTTTGAGTCAAGTTACTCATGAGACAGTTTGCAGGATCAACGTGTGTTTAACTTAAACAAACAGGAAAGAAGTGTCCTAACCTTTTCTTTCCTTTCAGTAGTCGTATCTGTTAAAAAGTTGCATTAATTGAGAACCTTACAGATAGAATTTTGTTCACATTTTACAAGAAATAAACTTCTTCAAAGACAGACTAAATGCTGCTTTTAGTTTCAAAAATAAAGCTTGTTAGTAGAATTACTCTTCAGGGATGTGTTACTGACTCCAGGGGATTTTGATGTCACTAGGGCAACTGAGAGCTGTTTACAGCAAAGGCAAGGATTTAGCTCAAGGGAGAGGCTTCGCCCAACACAAACAGTTGATTTTGTCACATCAGACAGAAGAAAAGACACAAAAGAAACAGCTTACAATGTGCAGAGTGAATAAAAAAAGGCAAGCAGAGTAAAATGGAAGTGCTAGTAAAAGAGAGGCGGCAGAGATCTACCTTGTGTTATCAAAACCAGGGGGGAAGCTGCCCTCCAGGACAGCCCTGTGCTGCTGCTTCCCTGCAAATGTTCCTTGCAAAGACGTGAGCACAGGAGGGTTTTCCGGCCCCCGATGCAGGAGCCAAGGCAGGGGGTGGGTTTCGTGGGCTGGGCTGAAATTTGACATCAGGAGGAAACTGAAACCTGGCATTGGTGGAAGCTGCCTGTGATGCAGAGGTGAAGGCTGGATCTGGCTTGGTGCTTAGGGGAGGTGAGAGCAGGGGACAGGCAGATATGCAAAGAGCCAAAGAAGCAGGAGCCCGTCAGTAGCTGTGGAGGAGACAGAGAGAAAGGGGCAGTCTGGCATGATAGGAGGGCAGCCACAGCATGCGTGGAAGGTAAATAAGTAATCATGTTGAAATAAGGGGCAGTGTGATTGGAAAACATCTGGTTGCTGCTGCTGTCCTGGTCTGGCTGGATTTCTTGCAGCTAAAAACGTGCTGTAGAGCAAACAGTGTGTTTCTGATACATTTCTGCAAACCTTTACAGCAAATCTAGATTCATGGTCATCTGTATTAATCTCGAGGCTTTGTTTAACAAATTTGAATCAACTTCAAAAACAAAAAATTAGTTTTCAGTTTTATTTTTTTAGAGTAAAATACATTTGCAAGAAAAGAGTTCAGAGGCAGGCTTAGCACCTCTGTGAGACTCGTGCATGTTACGGAAGGGGGGATTACAAGCAGAAGATCACTTGCAATCAGATCCTTCATGTGTGTTTTAGAGTGTTTCCTTTAGATGTGTTGGTGAGCTGTTAACACCTGCACTGAATGTAGTAGCCAAAAATATTGGAGTATTTAACTAACTCTAATAATAGTTTCGTATGTTAAGAGAATGGTGTGGAATTATAGCAGTAGGAAATAAAGAGGGATCATAATGGAAACCAACTGCGTGATGAAGTGTAAACAAATCAGAAGTCAAATTAAGTCCTATTAAGTCTGACTCAGATATGATTTGCCTCAACTTGACTTCTCTGGGGTTGCAGGGTGTTTTTTTCTGTATGCTAACTAAATAGTATATGAGCATTGTGCAGATGCTGCCAAGTTAATCAGATGAATAGTCTTCCGAGCACGAACAGGAGTTTTAGGGATGAGTGATCAGGACATTTGCTGAGGCTGCAGGTCAGATGGGACCCCATTAAACTAAAGAGCAGTAAAAATTGCCCAGTGTGTGGATGGGAATGGGAGTAGAGATGAAACTGTGTTTTAGCAATGTAAGCTGATAAATGTAATGCTGGCTCTGCCCTTGAAGAAAGAAATTCAAGATCTTATTTCCTGTTTCCACGTCAATCTCGTATCTAGGATCTAGTACCAGCTAGCCACCAATTTGTTGAGAGATTACAATTACAAATCTTTCTGTCATGTCCAGGGGAAGCTGCTAGCTGCATTGCACCTCTCTGACAATACATGCTCTAATTGCATGCAACGTTTATAAGATTGCTAACACCACAGAACAGAAAAAAAGGCAGATGCCAAGAGTTTCAAAAATGACAGACCAGGGCTTCCCAGATAAACTCCAACAGAGAAAACACAGCTTGTTTCTTTTTGCCCTTGGTTCATGGGCAAAGAAGAATCCTTAGGTGTTCCTGCGGGAGTGCAGGAACCACAGACACGGGCTCCAGGAGTTACAATTAATTGCTCTTTGGAGGGATGATACACCACCCGCGTCCTGCTGCAGCTTTGCTTTAAAGCACTGACTCCCCAGCCAGCCATCAGCACTGTGCTCTGCACTTTTTTGCACCCTGGCACTAGGCAGAAGGACAGGATGCTTTTATGCTTAATAACCACCTTCTCAAAAGACTTTTCCACAATTATATCAGTCTGAAGTATTTGAGGGAGCAATTAGGTGTAATATTTTAGATCAAGGGAAACCTAACAGAATGCATTTTTTTCCCAGAATTGATCCAAATTTTGTAAGGGGCTGGGCCAAAATAGCTTGGTTTTGGATCAATGTAAAGAATCGCCTAAACCATTTCTAGAATAATTATAAGAATGTTTTTAAAGCTTGTGAATACACGAATGCATCATGCTTTTGAAAGACTGCAGGTATT